GGGCGTGTCCAAAGTGCGCAGGTGTCCAGGGGGAGTCCGGGGCGAACAATCCAGAGGTAATCCAAAGGGGAAATCCAAACACGGGCAAAGTCCAAAGCTGGGCTTACAGACAGGATAAAAACAGGAACAGAAACTTAAAAACATGCCGGAGTCAGGCGATTACAGGTCCCGGACTCGCACGATATGGGAATCAATGCAGAGCCCCGAACTGAGGAGGAGGGACTACAGTCATGACATTCTGATCCCGAGAGTCTGCTCCAGCTGTGCTCTCCTCCGCTGGACTGGACCCCGGAGGAGAGGTAGCAGGACTCTGCCACCTGAGCTCCGGGCTGGGAATCACACTTTCTTTCTCTTCCCCCCCCTTCCCTCCCTCCTTCTCTCCTCACTGTGTTTCTCCCCCGCTGCCACCTCTGTCTCTCTCTCTCTCTCTCAGGGTGGACAACTATCCCGACATCGCTCAGAGCCCCACTCTCCGTGCTGATACGGTGAGGACTCTCATGCATTTGGCCCTGCAGGTCTGGGCCAAAGTCACGCCCCTGCAGTTCCGCGAGCTGACAGCTGGGGGCGCCAGCGAGGAGCCCGACATCCACATCACGTTCAGCAGCTCCTACCACCAGGACGGTTACCCGTTCGACGGCCCGGGGGGTACGCTGGCTCATGCCTTCTTCCCCGGAGAGCACCCCGTCTCTGGGGACACGCACTTCGATGACCAAGAGTCTTGGACTTACGCAGGTGAGCAGCTGATTAATGAAAATCAGCCTTCATTCCACTGGCTGACTGCTCGTCAGCAGGTGTTTCTGTGAACAGATATTCTTGTCAGACTCCCATCGACACTAACAGAGTAGTTTGAGTCACTCCAGGCCAGTCACTCAGTGTGTCTGTGTTAACCCCTCTCTCTCAGTGCAGTGTTAATGTACTGGAGTGTCCAGTCAGTGTGTCTGTATTAACCCCTCTCTCTCGGTGCAGTGTTAATGTACTGTAGTGTCCAGTCAGTGTGTCTGTATTAACCCCCCTCTCTCTCAGATCCTCAGGGTACAGACCTGTTCACAGTGGCTATCCATGAGTTTGGTCACGCACTGGGTCTCTCACACTCCTCCTCTACCAACTCTATCATGGCGCCTTACTACCAGGGCCCCGTTGGGAGACCGGAGGATTATGTACTGCCCGGTGATGACACCCAGGGCATCCAGCAGCTCTATGGTAGCTCTCTCACTCTCACTCTCCTTCACTCTCACACTCTCACACTCCTTCACTCTCTTACTCTCACTCTCTCACTGTCCTTCACTCTGATACTCTCACACTCCTTCACTCTCTTACTCTCACTCTCCTTCACCCTCTCACTCTCACTCTCCTTCACTCTCTCACTCTCCTTCACTCTCTCACTCTCACTCTCCTTCACTCTCACACTCTAACTCTCCTTCACTCTCATCCTCTCACTATCCTTAACTCTCACTCTCTCACTCTCCTTCACTCTCTCACTCTCCTTCACTCTCTCACTCTCACTCTCCTTCACTCTCAAACTCTCACTCTCCTTCACTCTGATACTCTCACTCTCCTTCACTCTCCTTCACTCTCATCCTCTCACTCTCCTTAACTCTCAAACTCTCACTCTCCTTCACTCTGATACTCTCACTCTCCTTCACTCTCTCACTCTCAATCTCCTTCAGTCTCCTTCACTCTCACTCTCCTTCACTCTGATACTCTCACTCTCCTTCACTCTCTCACTCTCCTTCACTCTGATACTCTCACTCTCCTTCACTCTCTCACTCTTACTCTCCTTCACTCTCCTTAACTCTCACTCTCTCACTCTCCTTCACTCTCACACTCTCACTCTCCTTCACTCTCTCACTCT